ATGTGTGAAGCCGTGAGTGTGAAGCAAAAGGGGCACTGGAGACCTCAGAAGTTTAGAAAAGCCAGGACCATGGATCATCAAAGGAAAGCTGCAAGGAGGGAGCAAAGTGGGCCTAAGAGAGAAGCCCTGGAAGCTGTAACCACCAGAAGTGCCATAGGGGTGGACTCACGCAAACCCTTTGGGGCTCACAATGTGCCACAGATTGCTTCAGATGCTGCACGTGGAATTACAGGGCATAATGTTAACCCTGCTGGACTTTGGACTTGCTTTGGTCCCAATGCTCTGTATCCCCCTGTTTGTACCTTTTGGAATGGTACTGCTTATTTTGTGCCAGTGAATGTTGGAAGTGTTTAACTTTTCATTTGTACAGGGGGTCACAGCTAAGAGTTTGCCTTCATCTCGGAGATTGGGAACTTGGACTCTTCAGCAATGCTGCAACTTTAGGACTTTGGCAACTCTTGCAGATGGACTAAATGCCTTTTGCATAAAGGGATGTGCATGAATCTTTAGTGGGTAAAATGTTATGGTTCTAATGGAATAGTATGTCTTTGTACCTGGAAACTGGTTTAAAGAAATGTATCTGGTTGCCAAGTTGACAAGGTATGGAGTGTTATGGTTGAAACATTGTGTCAACTTGGGGAGTCTAGAGGTTTGCTCTGGCTGTTTGCTGTTCCGCTGCCATTCCCCCCTTTGCTCTTGTTGCTTTGCTATCTTCTGCCTCGGAGCCAGCCAAGTATGGACTGAAACCTCCACAAACTGTGAGCCAAATAAACCTTTCCTTCCTTCATTTTGGGCATTTGGTATTTTGTCTCAGCAACGAGAGAAAAGTAACCAAGACACCATCTCAGCAGTGAGAAAAGTAATGAAGACAGTGGTCATGAATCCCTTAATTTCTTCAAAGCTTGGTTTCTTTAGGTAAAATGAGAGCAATAATACTAAATACTTTGGATTTCTATGCTAATGAAAATATAGAAGTGTGTCTGAACCACAGAAAAAATTTAATAAACAGCAGTTGTTGTAATTATTTATGACCCTCTTTGTGTTTGTTGTAATATTGGATATAGTATGTGACTTCTTTTGATGAAGATCTCTAAAAGCTAATTTCCCCCGTCTCATTACTGGAACAGATATGAATTTATCTCTGCCCTCCTGCCTCACTAAAATGATGGGTATGTTTTTGATTGATGGACTTTGGGAATTTTGAAACTGATTTTATTTGCCTGTTTACATTAGCTACTTGAAAGCATAAAGTTAAATCCGGCATCTTTCTACAGCAAATATAAATTACATGGTAATATGGAGTGGGTGATGATCTCTTTCATGGTTTCCTAATACTTAGTTCCTCACTCCATTACATGTATCCCTATATTTACACACCACTTCCCACTCTTCTAAACTCTTTGCGACTTAGTTTGTGCAGCTGGAAAGTGGGAGGATTGAGAAGATGATCCTTGAGATCTTTCTCAGCTTCAAGGCTTGCTCATGATGCAAAGCTGCAGGTTTACAGTGAGGTCAGAGAACTACTGGACACCTGGATTCTCATGCTAGCACCTGAAAATTCACTCAGTTCCTCTATAGGGGATGGTCATAGGTCCACCTAAGATATCCACACAAGATCTGCTGGAGGTATGCCACAGAACTGTGGTGAAAATGCTTGTGAATTATAAGAACACGAAGAATTATTTTTGAGTCATGCTTGCAAAAAATAAAATATATATCCTCAGTATTCAGTTCAATGAATTGTGATAGCCTAACACATCTGTGTAGTTATAACACAAAACCAGATATCATCACTCCAGAAAGTTCCTCTGTGACATCTGAATAGACTCCCATCATCCTCCAAGGGCAAACACTGTTCCGATTTTCATCCGCATGGCTCAGTCCTGCCAGTTTTTCCTATGAATACCAATAAACTTGTATGGTATTGTGTTTGGCTACTTGTCTGCAACATATCATTTTTAATACCCATGTTTTTCATGAGTCACTGCTTTCTCTTACTCCATTGCATGGCTAAGAGTTTGTTTAACCTTTTTCCTGTTGATAGACATATGGGTCATCTCCAACTTATGACTATGAGTGTGGCTCCTATAAACATTCCTGAGGACATCTATTTTTATTTCTTGCCCAATACCTAGTAGCAGTCAATGGGTAGTTTTAACTTTTGGGGGAGCTGTCAAATGTTTCTGCTAACTAACTGTGCCATTTTACATTTCCCAGTTACAGATGAGTAATTTCTTGCTCTGGTGCCTCATCAACGATTGGTATTGTTACATTCCTTTATGCTTTAGTCATCTTTGCGGTTGTTAAGTGAGTCTCATTGTGGTCTTGATTTGCAATTCTCTGACCATTAATGATGCTGAGCCTTTGCTTTTACTGGCCATAAGTAAATCTTCTGCAGTGAAGGCAAAATCTTTTGCCATATTTAAACTGTGCTGTTGGGGCTGGGGTTTAGCTCAGCTGCACAGCGCCTGCCTGGCAAGTGCAAGGTCGTGAGTTCGATTCCTGGTACCAGAAGAAAAACAAACAAACAAAAAATAAATAAACTGTGCTGTTGCTTTCTATATTGTTGATGTGTAGACATTTTTTTTTATATATATTATGGATACAAGTTCTTTGCCAGGTAGAGGTGAGAATTTTTTCAGGCTTACCTTTCATTTTTTGAGTAGTGCCACTGATTAATAGTTTTAATTTCAATGACATTCAATAGATCAGTTTGTCTTAGTGCTTGTTATATCTTAAGAATTTTTCTTCATTTTCCCCAAGGACATGAGATAGTCTCCTACATATCCTTATAACACAGCTATAATTCTAATTTTTCCCTGTTTAATTTTATGGTTCTTTGAGAATGAATAGAATGAGATAAGGGTCAGAATTCTTTTTCTCTTTTCACTAGAGATATCTAGGTATTCCAGTAAAGTTTGAGAAAGACACTTTCTTCCTCCTCCTACTGAATTGACACACTGCACTGATAAAAAATCAGTTGATTATACAAGTGGGTCTATTAATCTATTTTCTATTTCCCATTCATATACTTCTGTAAAAGTCACTCTTCCATGATTAATCTTGCTTTATTGCAAACCTTCCAGCCAGAGTAAGTTCTTTTGAAATGTCAGTGTAAGGACTTTGTTCTTTTTCAGGATTGTTCTGACAATTCTTTTTTTTTTTTTTTGGTTTTTCTCCAGTACCGGGAACTGAACTCACGACCTTGAGCATGCCAGGCAGGTGCTTTTGCCGTTGAGCTAAATCCCCAGTCCCTGTTCTGACAATTCTTGATCATTTTTATTTTCATATATATTTTAGAAACAGCTTCTCAATGTCTTTGAAAATCATTCCTGGATTTGAATTGCATTAAATATTCAGACTCCACAGTACAAACTGCCTACAGTGTAGTCTAGGCCAGCATCAACAACAGTGAGTCTTGCAATCCATGAACATGGTGTACCCCTCTGTTTACACAGGGCTTTCATTTTCTGTTTTTCCATTTTCACAGATGTATTTCCTCCAAAGGACGTGTGCTTTGATGTTTAATTTTTTGATGCTACTGTAAAGAACATTCTTAATAAATTTTGGCTTTCAAATTTCCATCACCGGTATTTTTCTGTATTGACTTCATACTCTGTGATTTTCCTAAACTCAGTGCAGTAGTTTTGGTGTTCTTTCTTTCTTTCTTTGCTTCTTTTGTAGATTTTAAAGGGCGACCTACACACAGACACATCTTTTTGTCAGAACTAGAACTTTTATTTCTTCCTTTGAAGTTTTATTATTCCTATTTCACTTCTTTAGTTATGTGAAGCATTTCTCGTAGGTGAGACCCGATATCCTATGTTTGTACTGATCTTAGGACACAGCAGAATGATACACCGTTAGCTACAGAATTGGCTGTAGGTTCCTAACTGATGCTCTTTATCAGAATAAGAAATATTCCTTTCTCCTTCCAGTTTTCTTTGTGTTATTAAAGCACGTGTTTACTAAGATAACTGTGTGGTTTCCATTTTATACGACCTACTTTGAGCTAGAAAGCATGCAAACCATGTCTCCTTGAACCCTTCCCTCTCAGCCCCGGACGCCTCTATTTTACAGAGTTATTGGGACAACTCGGTGCTACTTTATTTCTTACATAGCGAGTTGCTGTGATTGGGTAAAAACAAGGAAATCACTGTTCACTGCTGTTTAAAAGGTGCCACCTGTAGAAACCCAGGACACACGTTCTCCCGCGGCCTCGCGTTCTTGTAAACACTGTGACTTCCCGGCGCAGAGCGGCACCCCTGCGCTCCCTGGAGGCAGGAGGCGGGGCCTGAGCTCGCCCCTGGCCTCGCCCGGACCCCGCGCCCGCCCCGGCCTCCTCCGCGTAGTAGCGCCCCGCGGCCTGCAGGGGGCGCAGGACACG